GGGCTATGTCTGACTCTGATTGCTAGATATCCATTTATGTCTATAATTCTTATGAATTTTCAAGTACTGAAATTATTAAAATAATTTCATAACAAATGTGAAGATACCTTCTCAATGAACAGAAAAATATATTAAAAGGGGATTGAAGCCAGAGACTTTACCACTGAGCTACACTCCAGAACTTATTTATTTATTTATTTTTCTGAGACAAGTCTTGGGTCTCTCTACATTGTCCAGAGTTCAGGTTACTGGCCTTGAACTTGAAAGATCCTCTTGCCTTGGCTTCCCTAAGTAGCTGGGATTACAAGCATACACCATCACACTCAGCTTCTAGCATCATTTTTATTTTTGTAGCATTGGTTCATTTGGAAACCCTAAACTCCTTCCCCTACCCCCCAATCCTGCATATGTCTGGTTTTATTGAAAATAATTGAATTTTTCCCCAGAATTGTTCTGTTTTCTCTATTTTTAGTTCCCTTTCTCCTTACCATCAAACTCTTCCTTTTTTGCCTCTCTTTTCCTCCTCCTTTCCTCTTCCTTTTTACCTTTATCTTCCTTACCCTACTTCTATATTTGCTTACTTTATGACTTTTTAAAAAAAATTTGCTTTTGCATATTTGCTCTCCAAGGAAAAACCAACAAATTGTTTCCTTTTGACAACAAATTGTTTCTTGAAAAGTAGAATATGGATTTTTCTATTTATTTGTGTTTTACTTTATTTATTTGATTACTTTTTTTTAGCTTTAGGTGGACACAATATCTTTATTTTACTTTTATGTGGTGCTGAGGATCAAACCCAGTGCCTCATGCATGCCAGGCAAGCACGCTACTTGAGCAATATCCCCAGCCCCTTGTGTTTTACTTTTTAAAGGCAGACTACAGCCTTTTCTCCTTCTACCTTGTCCTCTATCATATACACATTTGGGACATTTCAATTATCTGAAGCATCTAGAAGACTTCAGATTTCCAGATATCTGAATTATCCAGGTTTTATTTAATTGACTAAGATAATATATGAAGAAATACTAATTGGTATTTTTGCATTTTAAACCAATATTAATATTTCCTACAGCTAAATACATTTTTTATTTTATACTCAATATTCTTGAACTGGCCTGTGATTTGTGTTACACACATTTTATATACATTTCTAGCAAACAGACTTTAGTGTCTCGACTTGCTTTTCTTTTTCCTATAACTTTATGAGCAACCATAATCATTGATAGAATGTTAAATGTATGTATGTATACATGTAAGTTCATTATCAGGAAATGACAATAATTTTCAGGTTACTAATTTTTCTCCTCACCAATATTAACAAACAAATATAATTTATGGACATGGAATTGTTTATAGTGATATTTTGATGAAATGACTTTAAATAAATTTGAGCCAGAAAAAGTGTTTAATAAATGGATTCAAAGAGATGTCTTCTTGGGATGGTTTCTAATTTCTAATTGTTTATTGCTAACAATTTTAAATCCATAAATCCAAAATGATTCAGGACTTTACATGCATCTCCTTCATTTACAAGAGTACTATAGCTAAGATTACAAAAGATAAAAGTTCTAGTGTTCATTTATGCATGTCCCAGTTTTCAAAAATAATTATATTTTTCAAAACCATTTGGATCTTATTACAACTGAAATCAAGGCTATAAAAATTGAAAAAGAAAGAATATACCTATTGGGGAATTGTTCTCTTAAGTGCCTTTAACTCCTTACAATTAAAATATATATATATATATATATATATATATATATATATATATATATATATATCCAAAGTCTTCTCTAAAACATTTACATTGTAAGGTAAAGATTAAATAGAGTTTAACAATCTTTCACAATTTTATTTCATTCCAAACCTTGTCTATGGTTTTCTTTAGCTTTCACTGAGAAAAGTGTATCATTTAAACAAAAGTATAAACAAAAATCCAAAGGCAGAACTGAAGAATGTTCACTTCTTTTCTTGACTATTTTTTAGTTTAAATAGATTTTTCAAACAATCCAAAATAACTCATCATTTGCTAACACCACCTCATTTGCTGAGAAGCATCATGGGTAAATGGCTCAAACACCCCACTCGTGGAACGCCAACCAAAAAAGCACAATTTTAATCAGGTATCAAATGAAGTAGAAAACATCTTAGTTTAAATAATGTATAACTTCTTACCAAATTAGTTGCTGAAGTTTTAAAGTTAATAATAAATTGTTGCACCATATATGTCACAATTTTTATGAGAGTAACATGAATGCAGAGAGAAGTACTTTTCTCTATTTTGCCTCCTTTTCCCTTTCCAACAAATAATAGAAACCAATAGTTGGAGGGAGCCTGGAAAACATCTAACTCAATTTGCTCATTAGTAGGGCTGTTTCCTTTGTGCTACTCCATCCATAGCCTGAACTCTTCCTGTGGTATATAGCATACCACCTCCTAGGCACACTCATTCCCATATTCAATTCCACTATTTTTGTTAAAGTATTTCTATTGAGCTGAGATGTACTTAAAATATTATATTCATTATCCTTATGTCTATTGTTGGAACTTAAAACCATAATGAATCCCTTGTTTTATTTTTTGAAGAAAACTATCTGTCCTCATTCAATTTTCTATATTTATGTAATAACATAGCCATTTCCTTCAAAACAGTTTTATGACATAATAACTAGAACTTTTATCATGTGGAATTCTCAACTGAGTAAAGTATTGCAGCATATCCATTTAGATGTGAGATAAAAGACACTGTTTTCACAATTCTGTGCAATATTAATGAAATTTAAGATTACATTTCTTTGTCTATCATGACTACAATGCTTCACGCTATTTACTTAAATGAATGATTTTTATTGTCTGTATTTGTGGATCAGTAAAGCTAAACAATACATACATATTTCCTTTGCCCACAACCCTCCCTTCTATCCATAATTAATAATTATGGATAATTATTAATAATTAATAATAATCCAATCTCTTCACTCTACCTTTTTAAAAAATTATTTTACAGTATTTGTGTTTGTTCTTTGTTTTTATAAGTTGTCTGGAGGATAGGCTAACACAAAACAGAATTTCTCATCAGCTTGATGAATAGTGCTTAGGGCAGGAGAAAAGGAAGATTAAAATAGTGAAATAAATGTTTGAAATATAACAATATCTTAAAGATAGAAATAATATTTATTTTCAAGTGTCCATCAAATGGCACCAAATTTGAAATGTGAATTAGTGTAGAAGAAAAATATCAATGAATTTCAAAGAAATATCAATATTTTTTTAAATGAAAAGAACAACTCCATTATTTTTTAAAAATGAGGATTTTTTAGCTACCCACAAACAAGTAATAGGTAAAATAAGAATAAAACTATAATTCTTGATTATAGTAGAATTCTATATATTCAAACATATAAGGTACAGAACAAGTCCCACCAGAAGGAATTATTAACCTTAAATGGCTAATGATGAATCAAAAAATAATAAAGTCCTAATAAAATAATATTAAAAATTTTAAAAAGGAAATTAAGCTGACTAATAAAACAAAAAGTAAAGACTATTGAATTATAAAAAATAAAAAGAATAAAATTATTAAGCCTGGGTTTAATTATTGTTTTGGAAGATGAAATACCATTAAATAGAATTCAAGGTACTATATGAGAGGTACTGTGTCAAATGGTACACATATATATGCACAAATATAATTTCTAAGTGTTGTGCTTGTATGCGTATGATTTTCTTCTTTACACCTCCAATGAGTTCAGATATTTTGCACTCATCTTCCTGCCTCAGAAAACTCAGTCTTGTCTTTTCTATAAAATAATGAAAACTCATTGACTTTAAAGATAGATAAATGGGTTGCTTCAAGAAGCCCAGAATCTTTATTTTGGATCAGTTCATGGCACAGGGAAGATATTCCACAAGTAACTCAAGTTGAAAATTTAGAAGAATTCCAGATTGATTCTCCAGTCTCCTCCTTACTACTAGAAATGTATTACCCAGGTCTTAGTGTTCATCTGTCTCACTTTTATGCTGGCACATTCTACAATGTAATCTAACTCCTCTCTTTGATTCTCCCATAACCCATTAGTAATTTGAACTGTAAACACATTTTGCTTATTCTGGCAGGATGTTTCACTTATATTCTATATTGGGATTTGCATAATATCAGCTCCAAACCCCTTGAAAAATCACTGGGATAATTCTCTTTCAGATAATGTACATGTGCTGGACCCATAGGGATTTGTGGATCTTACTCAGGTCTAGAGAAGCATCACAGCAGTGAAGTCAATAAACTCTGCAGCCAGACTCACCTGCTTACTGTATGGTTGGAGCAAGATATTTAACTTATTTGGATCTGTTTCCTCAACTTTGAAATTGAGATGATATTGGCTCATACACCAAAAGTCTGTGAAAGTATGAAAGATTGAAAGCATTATTATATGTGGTATTTATGCCATAGAAAAATTCTGTGAAAGTGCTAATTTTCCTATTTAGTTATCTGTCCCAGCACTTCATATGGGCAGTGCTAGCTGCCACTCTGGAAGTCTGCATGGAGTTACCTCTAAAATAATTTTCAATTCCAGATGGATTTATAAACAACTCTTCAGAATTAAAACTGACTATAAAATGTACAAGAAATCAAGTTTAATTTGTAAAGTAGTAAAGAGTAGAATTCAATGGAGAAATATCAGGTTTGCACTCTTCCTCTCACAATAAGATGTTTTAAAAATGAAAAATTTAAGAGTACATAAAACTACAACAATGATGAAAAGTGGAAAGATCAATTTAAGACTAATTGGTTTACTGTAATAAATAATGGAAAATAAGCATCTGGAACTTTGTATAATTTAATCACAAAAAATTAATATGACTTACATATTCCTTGAAGAAAACCAATATTAACTTCAGGATTATCACCATATAAAGTCTGTACAGGTATCCGATGGGATTACCAGGAACCACTAAACCACTGCTGTGTTATAATGACAAGTTAAAATAAGCTGGATATCCAATCCCATCCACATGCCTATGGAAAGAAAAAAAGGCAGTTTTATGGGCCAACATCAGGTACACCATAGACAACCCAGAGAGGGGTACAAAAGTTAAACAAAAGTTAGGGTCAAAAAAGTATGAGAAGGAGGAATCTGGCTCTTAGCATAAACATGTAAGTCAAAGCACACATGTTTGAGAATGTATGGGATACTGCCAACTTGTTGCTTTTCCCATTGACTCTGGCCAGAGAAGAATACTTTGGAAATCAGAGTTATAATTAATTTTACTTCACTTGTTCTTGCTTCATGGACACTGTAAGAACGAGGAAAGAAAATGGGTCTCTCCCCTAGTGCCTAGAATGATTTGGCCTGAGCTTAGAATGATCTTAGTATCTCCTCTTTTTACTTTTCTTCAATCTTGAAGTTTTGTCCTAGCTCAGAACAAGGAGTAAGATAAGAAATAATTGTATCTTGCTTCCAGTTTTCTATAATAGATAATTTGATTTAAATTCTTTCAGAGCATTTTAGAAAATGGGAAGATTCCCAACTAATTTGGTAAAAATACAAGAATCCAGAAACTAATATATAAATTACAATTCAGCATGAAAAAAAAAAAAACTTAGCTCAATCTAAACAAAAACTTGATGAAAATTTATAAATAAAGTACACAAAACAGAAATAAATAATACATTAAATGGATTATTCATCATAAAATAGGTGGGGGGTCCTAAAAATTTATACATAGCTATTTAGTATAGTATTAGATGTCATATTAAAATATATCAATATTGCCAACATTTTAAAAAATTTAATATCAATGTTTCTGATTAAAAACAATAATTGAACATTCATTTCTAAAGCCAAACATCCAATCCACTAACAAAAAAGAACCTTAGCAAACTCTAAACTTAATTAAGGATATCAGTTACTGAATAGCAACACTGTACTACAAAATTAAATACTGGAAGCAGCACATTGAAGTCAGAGTGCCAACAGCAGCTTAGTATTTAGCACTTCTAGAAGTAAAGGGCAATGCATCAGTTAAGACATGACACCATGAGGTACAAATTTTGGAAAAAAAAGGTAAGTTATTTGCAGGAATATAATAACATTTATACAAAAGCAAGATAAAGTAAAAATTCCAAGAATAAAAAAGAAAAAATTATATAGTGACCATATAGGATGCAAGCATACAAAAAAACATTGCTTTCCTGTAAAACTTTTCCAGAAGATTTAACATTTAACCAACTACCTTCAACTTCCAATCTACAGGGAAATTATTCCTTTTGTATTTTCCATAATGGATAGCATCTTTCTAACTAGTCCTTTTACTACCGGGTAGATTTACAACATAGTGTAGATACAGATGGCAGATTTGAACTTGCTGTATTAGGGGAACATCTATAATGCAGCATTTTTTTACTTAAAGCATAGTCCCCCAACAAGGTAAGTTATGATAACACTGAGGTCCACATAACATTAGTTATAAAGCAAGCTGGTGTAAGTTCTCTCTGACCTGAGTCTTCATGTCTACATAAGTAGTAAAAGTTGTCCTAAAGAAAAAACTGGGCATATATCTTTTATTTGGCTATAAAGAATACCTGTGCTCACCTCTCATTTTGAGACTGTGGGAAGATGTTCTTTTTTGTTGAGCTTAACAAGGAGAAATAATCAAACTTAAATCCAGGAAATATTAAGTCCTCAAACTTCTACCCAGAAAGAACTTGTTCACTTGGGATCACCACATCAAACATAGAAATTCAGTTCATGATAAAGGTGAAAAATAATCCTCAAAGCAGAATATGCAAGCATGAAGAAAACAAAATGTGTTTCTCACCAGCTAAGCATCACTAAGTGTGTGATCGAGCATTTGTGTTTTACAAAAGCTGAAGCATGCTTTGTCAGTCACTTTCCTCATCAAACTCCAAGTTTGGCATCTAGCCAATGAAATTAAATACACCTATAATGAAACCATAAAAGACCAGGCTTTAATAAAATCTATTTGATTACAAAGGTGCCCTTATTCCATAAGCTTTTCATAACCTTTAAATTGGAAGACATCAATTCATCAAATCCAGTCAGACAAAAATTTTAAGATCAAGTTATCATGTTTAGGGCAGGCTTAATGGTATATTAAGTGTGATAACCTGCACCTTCCCTTGGAATAGTGTCATTAAACTTAAAAAAAGAAGCCATTAATAACATCAAGATGCATAAGTAGTACTAAGAGAGAGAATATAAATATAGGAGAGTAGATTTTCCATCACTGACAAGGCTTCTTTTTTCTAATTTCTAGCCACTTTCAAACCTATCAGAATCTGATGACCATTTCCTGAGCAGCAGTAACTTGTGCTTGAAGTCTCTGTACAAAAAGTAACACATTTGGTGATACATGAACATATATTCAAATAATGTTTACATTTTATTACAGTTACCATAAGTTAGTCTCTCTTTAAATGAAGTAGAAAAGAGGAAGCAGTAACTCCACAAGATAGAAGCATTACATAGGCCACCTCAATCTCAATAAATCATATGAAATAAGAAGTGATATCAATTCTCTCATTTCTCATGTTGGCAGTTTGTTTGTTCTCCCTTTTGTTCATCAACAGTATGGTTGCAATTTTATGAATTTTATTGATCTCAAAGAGCAATTTTGATTTAATTTTCTTTAGTTTTACTAGAGCGCTAATTCTTTTTATTGATTTTATTTTTTAAATACATGACAGCAGAAAGCAGTACAATTCTTATTATGCATATAGAGCACAATTTTTCATATCTTTGTATATAAAGTATGTTCATGCCAACTCATGTCTTTATACATGTACTTTGTTTTTTGCATTATAATTCTTATTACACATATATACCACAATTTTTCTTATCTCTGTTTGTATATAAAGTATGTTGACACACAATTCATGTCTTTATATATATTGGGAATCAACTTAACAAGAGAGGTGAAAGATCTATATGATGAAATCTACAGAATCCTAAAGAGAGAAATCAAAGAAGACCTTACAAGATGGAAAGATGTACCATGATCTTGGATAGGCAGAACTAATATTATTAAAATGACCATACTACCAAAAGCACTATGCAGATTTAACATAATTCTGATCAAAATCCCAACAGCATTCCATGTAGAAATAGAAAAAGCAATCATGAAATTTATCTGGATAAATCAGAGACCCAGAATAGCTAAAGCAATCCTTAGCAGGAAGAGTGAAGCAGGTAGCATGGCTATACCAGAACTTAAGTTATACTACAGAGCAATAGTAACAAAAACAGCATAGTATTGGTACCAAAACAGAATGGTAGATCAATGGTCTACCAGAAGACATAGAGACTAACCTACAAAATTATTATTATCTTATATTAGACAAAGGTGCCAAAAACATGACTGGAGAAGAGATAGCCTCTTCAACAAATGGTGCTGGGAAAACTGGAAATCCATATGCAACAAAATGAAATTAAATCCCTATCTCTCACCATGCTCAAAACTTAACTCAAAATGGATCAAGGACCTAGGAATTAAACCAGAAACTCTATGTCTAATAGAAGAAAAAGTAGGCCCTAATCTTCATCATGTGGGATTAGGCCCCAACTTCCTTAATAAGACTCCTATAACAAAATCTTGAAGTAAAAAAAAATTAAAAGTAAAAAATTAAAATAAAAGGATTTTTTAAAAATGTATTTGTTCTAATTTTTTATACATGACAGCAGAAGGTATTTCAATTCATAGTACACATATAGAGCACATTTTTTTCATGTCTCCAGTGGTACACAAAGTCGAGTCACACCATTTGTATCTTCATACATGTACATAGGTTAATGATGTCCATTTCATTCCACCAGCTTTCCTAACCCCATGCCTCCTCCCTTCTCCTCCCTTCCTTTTGCCCTATCTAAAGTTCCTCCGTTCCTTCTATGCTTCCTCCCACCCCCTTTATAGATCAGCATTCACATATCAGAGAAAAGATTCGGCTTTTGAGTTTTTGGGATTGGCTTACTTCACTTAGCATGATATTCTCCAACTCCATCCATTTACCTGAAAATACCATGATTTTATTCTCTTTCAATGCTGAGTAATATTCCATTGTGTGTATATGCCACAGTTTCTTTATCTGTTCATTTATTGAAGGGCATCTAGGCTGGTTCCACAATTTAGTTATTGTGCTTCTACAAACATTGCTGTGGCTGTGTCACTAGAGTATGCTGTTTTTTAGTCCCTTGGGTTTAAACCAAGGAACAGGATAGCTGGGTCAAATTGTGGTCCCATTCCATATTTTCCAAGGAATTTCCATACTGCTTTCTAGATTGGTTGCACCAGCTTGCCATCCGACCAGCAATATATGAGTGTGCCTTTTCCCCCACATTCTCGCCAATACTTATTGTTGTTTTTATTCCTAATAGCCACCATTCTAACTGGAGTGAGATGAAATCTTAGAATAGTTTTGATTTGCATTTCTCTATTTGCTAGAAATATTGAACATTTTTCATATGTTTGTTGATCAATTGTATATTATCTTCTGAGAAGCATCTGTTCAGTTCCTCAGCCCATTTATTGATTGGGTTATTTGGGGTTTTTGTGTGTGTGTGTGTGTTAAGTTTTTTGAGTTCTTTGTATATCCTAGATATTAGTGCTCTATATGATGTGCATGTGGTAAATAAGTTTGCCCATTCTGTAGGCTCTCTCTTCACCTTACTGCGTGGTTTCCTTTGCTGAGAAGACACTTTTCAGTTTGAATCCATCCCATGTATTCTTGATTTTATTTATTGTACTACAGGAATCTTGTGAAGGAATTTGGGGCCTAATATGACATGATGAAGATTTGGGCCAACTTTTTCATCTATTAGGTGCTGGATCTCTGGTCTAATCCCTATGTTCTTGATCCACTTTGAGTTGAGTTTTATGCATTATGAGAGATAGGGGCTTAATTTCATTTTGATGCATATGGATTTCCAGTTTTCCCAGTACCACTTGTTGAAGAGGCTATCTTTTCTCAAACATAAGTTTTTGGTACCTTTATCTACTATGAGATAACTGTATTTATGTGGATTTGTCTCTGTGTCTTCTATTCTGTTCCATTGATCTACAAGTCTATTTTGGTGCCAAGACCATGCTGTTTTTGTTACTATTGCTTTGTCGTACAGTTTATGGTCTGTTATTGTGATGCTACCTGCTTCACTCTTCTTGGTAAGGATTGCTTTGGCTATTATGGTTGTCTTGTTTTTCCAGATGAATTTCATGATTGGTTTTTCTATTTCTATGAGAAATATCATTGGGTTTTTGATTGGAATTGCATTAAATATTTACAGTGCTTTTGGCAGTATGGTCACTTTGACAATATTAATTCTGCCTATCCAAGAACAAGGGCAATCTTTCCATCTTCTACGGTCTTCTATAATTTCTTTCTTTAGCATTCTGTAGTTTTCATTGTAGAAGTCTTTCACCTCTTTTGTTGATTCCCAAGTTTTTTTTTTTTTTAGATTATTGTAAATGGGGTAGTTTTCCTAGTTTCTCTTTCAGAGGATTTGCCACTGATGCACAGCAATTTCTTTGATTTATGGGTGATGATTTTATATCCTGCTACATAGCTGAATTTATTTATTAGTTCTAGAAATTTTCTGGTGAAATTTTTTGGATCCTCTAGGTATAATCATGTCATAAGCACATAGTGATAGTTTATCTTTTCCTATCTGTATCCTTTGAATTTCTTTCATTTGCTTAATTGTTCAAGAACTATGTTAAATAGAAATGATGAAAGAGGGCATCCCTGAATTTTTCCAATTTTTAGAGGGAGTGCTTTCAAGGATATTCACACAATAATATTCAAAATCATTCAAAAGTATATTAAAAACTATTCAAAATAATATTCAAAACTATTCACACAGTAAAAACACACTATATGTGTGTACATATAAATACATATATATCATGCAATCTAGAAGAATAAAAAAAGTAAAAAGTTAAAATACTATGAAATGATATTTTAGAAAATTTTAAAAGCTAAAATTTTAAAAAGAAGTGGAAAAAGATAAGAATATATTTTTCAAAATGGGAGAATGCAGAGAAAAGAAAAAAAGAAAAAAGAACATATAAACATTAAAAGAAGAAAGGGAAAATCTTATTGAGAAACCAAGGATTTTTTTCCTGATGAGAGCGTCAAAACTGTTGGCAGTGATGGATTTTCATTCTTTGAATTTATTTTTGGCTTTGTAACCTCTGGGTCAATGGATAGAGTTGTTATATCAAAATCCTTTGTGTTCTGCACTTTGCTGCCAGGCATTGTGGCAAGGGGCCAAAGCTGGTTGAATAGTTCTCAGTTTCCCTTCCCCCAGTATCTGGTGGGATAGAATGAAGGGTGCTGACAAATTATGTATTTATTTATCTATTTTTATTATTTATTTATTCTACTTTGTTGTACCTGATAGCAGAATGCAATCGATTCATTTCATATTACACATATAGAGTACAATTTTTCAAGTCACTGATTTTACACAAATTATTTTCACACCAGTAGTGTCTTAATACATGTACTTAGAATAATGATGTCTAACTCATTTCACCATCATTCCTATCCCCTTGTCCCTTGTTCCCTCCTTTCCCCTCCCTCCCCTATACCCTGCCTAAAGTTTCTCCATTTCTCCCATGCTCCCCCTCCATTGCCATTATGAGTCAGGATCCTCATATAAAAGAAAACATTGGGCCAAAGTTTCCCTACCCATTCATCTATTCAAGGGCATCTGGGTTGGTTCCACAATTTAGATACTGTGAATTGTGCTGCTATAAACATTGATATGGCTGTGTGCATTTCTGTAGTGGAGGCATTGCAGTGCTCTAAACAGGAAGTTCCAGTACTTGAGGGTTAAACTTGACTGAATTTTTTAACTCTGTGCAAAGGTATTTGAGATTTGATACACACCCCCAAATTGATGGAGAGATGCTGGTCTCTGCAAGACAGCTACATCTCTAGGGCTTCTAGTAAAATACACTTTTAGGGCATAGGGAATAAACCACTACAGGTTCACCTTCACAGCTAGGAATAGGAAATACCAGGTATCTGCACTGGAGTGCAGATGCTCCTGTGTGGCTATCACTGGCATATTACCAATAGCTCTTATGGGACTAGAAATAAAGGGAACAC